TTCTTATTTACTTTCTTATTTGTGAGTTAAACTTTTCAAGTGACAGCAGGGAGAAGTAAGATGTTTAAGTGCCAGTTGGACATCTCATGTTTCTGGCTATACTATATTTCCCACAAGCCTGTATGAAATAACAAATGGTATGTTAATATCCTGTAAATTGTCTGAATCTACATGTATATTTCCTTTACTGACTTTTTTTAGAAAAATGCATAGCGATAGAGCTTTGGAGAATATTGACTGAATTAAATTTCTTCTTGTATAGAGATTCAAGACTATGGGCACTCAAAAATATAGCAAAATGTTAGCAATTCACATTAGAGCATGGGTGTCAAACTCGTTCATGTCACATGATGTATCGTGATGGTTTTTGCCATTGTGGAGCCATGGTGGACGTGGCCTGCATGTGACGCATCTGGCCTGTGGGCCGCCAGTTTGACACTCCTGCATTAGAGCGATATTCAAAACAATGTCAGGTGGAAGATATAACACTAGTTGTGCACCATATGAACTGTGCATAATGACAAATGGTACTTCATAAGAATGTTAGGATGGTCTTGGAATTCAGGTACAATTATGTTAATAAAAGAGTTTCTATTAAACTAAGTGCATGGAAACACACTTGCCTTTTCCTACATGAGTGAATGACTAATTTATCTCTCAGGCCTCAAGATTTAGAAAAAAATATTTAGATGTACATTTGGGGACATAAGCCAGATAAGATCAAAACCTGTTCCTGGTACTGGATAGTGTATATTTTTCCATTGAGAGAAGTATGAGTGTACCTGGAATCTCTGCCTTAGTGAAAGCTTATAGAATAAATTATACAGTACAGCTCCTAAAGGCCACTACCAGAGGTGAGGATATCCTAACTGATCAATATCTACTTTTATACTGCAAGAAATTAATCACACATTATTCATTTTTATAGAAAGTGAAAGGAGGTTTTAAAACAGAGAACATTTGATCACACTTGCATTTATTACAGAGTTATGCACATATCTAAACATGCCCAAATATATGTTAGTATAAATCAAGAGTTTGTTGTACAGAAAATAAAATCATTCACTTACACTACAAAACAGAACAGCTTAAAATTGGAATGAATAATGGAAAAATTAAATAACAGATCTTTCATACTAAATGGTTACTCCTTTAATAGATTTAGTATATGTGCAGTAGAAACTTGACTACTTACAATTAAATTCCAATGGATTCAAGAGTTAGGAACATAACCATACATCAGGGAAGTATGCTAGCAGGAAGTATAAGTTTCCTGGAAAATAAATTTGATATTTTTTTAACTCTTGGAATATTTTGAAATGTATTAAATAGCCTTCATTTTTAAATAATATGCATGGTACAGAAATTTCAATTTTTTTATTAAGCAAAATAGTCAGAATTCATGCTGGAAAACATGAATGATTTCTTTCTCTTTTTTGTAAATGATTATTTAGAATTTTAATTACAATTGTAAAAATAAACAGAGAAAGAGAAAGGAATGGTTTAAAAAGTACATGAAAAATGAAAAGAAAGAATATCTCTTTATCCCATGTCACATCCCTTATCTATTAGCAAATCCATAAAACATCAATTTGCCAATCCTGGTGCTAGCAAAAAAAACCTTACAAATGATTAATGATTTCCATAGAAAGTTTTAGCACAAAGAAAGGGAGTTAACATTTCTCAAGATATTTCTGAAATAACTTTTTTTCCACTCAGATCCTTCAGAATCCTCACTTCAGAACTTTCTACAAGTTTTCTCTGGCAAATAACTTTTTCTATCACCTTCCCACTTAACATGCCTTACCCTTGAATATATGTTTTTCTATATATTGTGGACAATGGAAAATAATGGTCAGAGTTTCAGTGTAGTTTCTGACATTACAACGATAGCCAAAAAAAAAAAAAAAAAGAACCATTTCTGTTTCTATTATTGAATACACTTTGAAGAAACTTTTTTCTCATTGGAAAACTGCCTCTGCATCTGCTCTTCCAATTTAGCTGTGATTCTGAAAAATTATTTATATATCCAGATCCATAATAAGCTTAGCTCTTAGTGTTGTTGTGTTTTATAGTGCTTGTTTTACGTGATTGCAGTATGAGCTTGTTTTGGCACTATGTTCACTTAGTTCTTACAGTAAACCTATCACAAGCTGTTTTTTATTAGCTGGTTTGTTGCAAAGCCTGATGCTAATTTAAGGCCAAGAGGAAGTGGCTGATCCAAGATCACCCATCTGGCTTCATGCTTGAGGGTAAACTAGAATCTTGGTCTCCTCACTTTTAATCCATCACCTTAACTTAGCTCCTGGATAATAATTTTTATACTTTTCAGTGTGCTATCAAGTTGGTGTTGATGCTTAGTAATCATATTGATGGATTTTCTTGATAATCTCTCCTCCATTCTGGTCCTTCAGTCTTCTATCTATTCAGAAGAGAATTCAATTTTTCTTCAGAATTTCATTCATGTCAAAAGTGCATTTGCCATCATGAATACTGAACATAAAATCTTACAATTGTGTCTTTTTCAGAGCCACATAGAATTAATATGTAATAAACAGGATTAACATGATAGTGCAGTAGTTGTACTCTATTAGGATTAGGAAGATAGTAATGCAAATAAGACAAAATTAAATGCTAATTCATTCTTAGTGTATACTTTGTTTTGCTTTCATTATATAGCTGCTATATTAACTCAAGATGTTAAATCTATCTTTGTCCTTTAGTCAATCAGATAGAGAAATGGGAAAGATACCTCCCTATTTGATTGTTTATGTCATTCCAAAGGAAAATGTTGACATTCCAGCAAGTTCATGTCATAATCTAACTGTATTTATATGGTTATTCTCATTGTATTTTTAAAAATATTGTATTAATTTCTATTACAAGATAATTTATAATTCCTGTCAGATTAAGTGTTAAATATATCTTTTTTGACTGAAATTTATAAATTTAGGTTAAAAAAAATCCCTCTTGTTTAAAAATACCATTTTTTATAGCAAAGCTACTTTTGAAGAATTACTGTCCTGAATTAAGGGAAGATTTTATTTTGTTTCAAATGAGGCAGTATTGCCTAGAGATATCTATTAAATCTGACTGTTTTGTCAAAGTAATGAAGAAAGTATTGCAGTGTTGCACTGAAAGGTCTGCCTCTTATATACATGAAAACACAAATGTGAAAAGGGAAGAGTTAGTGTCACAATGACATGGCATTCATTTCTTCATTTGCCTTTGTCTTCTATGCAATCTGGTTTTGATTTGCAAAACATACTGTGAAATTTCAGTCCAGTTTTATTTATGTGTTGATGTGGTAAGTAGTGCCATTCAGCCATATAATTATAGATGCCCAGTTATGTGAATATTAGCAGCTTCTGTCCTCTTTTATAATACAAGGTGGACAACAAAGCTGATCATATACATTTCTTTCACTGAAATGGTGGAAATAAATTCCACTTTGCATTCAATCACTTGTGTGTGCTTAAATAATTTGTTGAATCACAATTTAGATTTACATGTACTGTACTCCTTAAAAGTCATACAAATATTTTGCAAGGAATACATCTGATGACAGCTTGACTTTCAGAAGATGAGAGGATATACTTGCATTGTTATAGAAAACAATGCAATTTATTACATATTTTTTTAAAAGGATCTTATCCTGCTTTTTAGTAGGGGATGTTCTCTGATATATTTAAGTGTAATAAGTAGAAGAAGTAGGCATTGTCCGCAGGCTTACAACAGAAATAATGGAACAAAGAAAGCACTTCCACAGAGCAATTCTTCAAGTTAAATACATTTTTATACATATGTTTTTAATTGATTAAATAAAAATAACCATAATTACAAGATAATAAGGTAGTGGCAAAGAAAAGTGTACTGAAATAATGGACTCTTGAGAGATCAGATCAATGTGCTATATTTCCTAAAAAGTTCAAAAAGGTTTTCTGCCACATTTCCATTTTAAGGAGTCAGTGGTGTATCTGTGTTATAACACTAGAAAAAGTACCTTAGGTCTAAATGATAAAACTTGAGATCACAAGATCAAGACAGTGTTGTATTGAATTTTGTATTAAATAACATTTCATTTTGGAAACAATTATAACCATCAAAACACCAATTTTTACTAGCATTTCTGGAGAACATTGGTCTTCAAGAAAAATTAGAGGGTTGAGTACAGGTCTGAACTAAGGGAGTTAAAAGACTTATGTATTAAATTACTAACTACCTATATGTTGGATGTGAACAAACTATCATATCTCAAAGCTTAGTAATTCATATAGAAGTGCAAAGATATCTAGTACAGAGATAGATATATAGACAGATGTATGTATGTATGTATGTATGTATGTATGTATGTATGTGTGTGTGTGTGTGTTGTGTGTATGTGTGTGCATAAGAGAAAGAGAGAGAGAGAGAGAGAGAGATCCCCTTGGATTCATGCCAGAAAGAATGCTATTCTAGCCATAAATGCTATCCCACATTGAGTTCCTTCCTTCCTTCCTTCCTTCCTTCCTTCCTTCCATCCTTCCTTCCTTCCTTCCTTCCTTCCTTCCTTCCTTCCTTCCTTCCTTCCTTCCTTCCTTCCTTCCTTCCTTCCTTCTCCCATCCTAATCTTCAGATTGAACCATTTTACAATATGTGAAGAAAAACATAATAATACTATAATCACTCTCTTTAAATGGCCAATATTATAAATATTCAATTCTGGTTTAAAGCATGTGGGATAGAGTTGTTTTAGCAACTTTGAGAGAAATGCTCAAATTGGGGGCAGGTGGGTAACGGATGCTACATAAACTTTTAGGGCAAGGAATTTTATTCTAGGCCACAACAGTTCTGTTATCTATTGCCAATAATAGGGTCAAAGAAAATAAAATCCATAGTTTAAAAGCCAATGCTTTATACAGTATTACTTTTTCTCTGTTTTTTTTTAAACTGTTCTGCTGTTATTAAGTGATTTTTTTTCTTCCTTCCTTCCTTCCTTCCTTCCTTTATTGATATTGTAGGTCCTGCCAGAAAAATGCTGCATTTTGAAATCTCTAAAGAAGGCAGTGAATTGTCAGTGGTAGCTCAAGCTGATGTGTGGCTTTTCCTCAAAGTATCTAAAGGTAATTGTACCAGAACAAAAGTGACCATTAGACTCTATCAGCAGCAGAAACTGCCAAAGCGCAGCTCTCTACTTGTGGAAGAGGAAAGTGGACGGAAGGGAGGAAAAAGTGAAATTCTGATATCTGAAAAGGTAGTTGACACTCGTAAAAGTACTTGGCACATTTTCCCAGTCTCCAAAAGTGTTCAGGGTCTCTTGGATCAGGGAAAGAATTCTCTGGATGTGCGGGTTACTTGTGACCAGTGTCAAGAAACAGGAGCCAGCCTGGTGCTGATGGGAAAGAAGAAAAAAAAGGGAGAAGCTATGGAAGGTAATGAAAGCACAGGAGAAGAGGAGAAAGAGCAATCACATAGGCCCTTCTTAATGATGCTGGCCACGAATTCAGAGGATCACCACCACAGGCGGCGAAGGCGAGGCCTTGAGTGTGATGGAAAAGTCAACATTTGTTGCAAGAAGCACTTCTTTGTTAGCTTCAAAGACATTGGTTGGAATGACTGGATCATTGCCCCACAAGGCTACCATGCCAATTACTGTGAAGGTGATTGTCCCAGTCATATTGCAGGCACATCTAGTTCCACTCTCTCTTTCCACTCCACCGTTATCAACCATTACCGCATGAGAGGCCACAGTCCTTTCTCCAACCTCAAGTCATGCTGTGTTCCTACCAAACTACGACCAATGTCTATGCTCTATTATGATGATGGGCAAAATATAATTAAAAAGGACATCCAGAATATGATTGTAGAAGAATGTGGGTGCTCATAGGTTATGTGCATTTTGCATATCAACACTTTGGGACAACCTTTTTAACAATTTCAAAAAGACAATTTGAAATAAAAACAGGAAAGACCAAATATTCAACAAAACAGTTATATTTTCAACATAATAGCATCTAGTATTCAAATTAGAGATAAGCAGAAGAAAGAAGAATGACATTGTTTCTAGGGTATGGATGAGGAATGCTCATCAAGGCAATGCAATCTTTATATGCTCTATATTTTATTGCATGGTATTCCACACTTAGCAACAAGGGGAGATATCTTTCTCTACTCAAAGTTATCTTTGCATTCAAGCCTTGATTATAGCATACCTAAAATATAGCAATTTGGCTGTTAAATCCAAAATATTATTAAAATTATATAAAAGCCATGTGTATGAAAACTACATTCACTGGCACTTTTATTCCCAAGAAGCTATCAAGGACACATTGAGTGTGCACGTATGTGATTGTGCAGCTTCCTTATGGCAAGCACAAAAAGCAGATTGTGTGTGTGTGTGTGTGTGTGTGTGTGTGTGTGTGTGTGTGTGTGTGTGTGTGTGTATATATATATATATATATATATATATATATATATATATATATATATATATATATATATATATATATATATATATATATATATATGGGACAATTAATATGCAGGTGTACTCACCTTTATTTTCTGCACTATTTTTGCAAAAACGTTTTTAAAAAGTAGGAGAGAAAGAAAAAGAAAAGAAAAGAAAAGAAAGAAAGAGAAAGAAAGAAAGAAAGAAAGAAAGAAAGAAAGAAAGGAAATACAAAGTTACATTTCGTAAAGGTGCTTATGACATTAGAACTATGCAACCAAGTTGATTTGAAATTTTATCTGAAAGAGAGAGAGAAAAAAACAACAACCCAGACTTAAAAAAACAATGGAAGTACCATTAATTTTTTTTCTTCAATGAAAGATACTTGAATGGAACATGTTTGTCCAGTTAATGGACCAACATTTCTATATTTTGTAAAAATGAGAAAAAAAAGTTTTTTTAAAAAAAGATTGTTTACTATTTGCACTACAAACCATGTTCAACCTGTCTTCTAACCTTTATTTAACTAGTAATTTGGGGAGGGATTTGGTTGGGTTGGAAGGGAATTGAAAGCTGCACTTATTGTGAGCTATATAAGAACTGCTACAGCACACAAAATAATTATTTTTATTGTCATATTTTATACCTTAAAAATGTACACCAAAGACATTTGTGTGAGCTTCTAAACAATCTGTTTTAAACTAATGTTATCTATAGGTTAGGATCTGATTTAAGGGTCATTAGTGAGGCTGGTTGTATTCAAACTATTATAGATGATTTCTGGATGAATCTGACCACCAGAATTGAAGGGTAGATTTGGCTATTCATTTATAAAGCCCTTAAATTATTCTGGGAACTTTAAATTAAAAACTGAATTTTAGAATATTGCAGTTGTGAATTCTTCATATGTACAACAGCTGTACATTATTGGAAAACAATACAATAGAAAGTTGTAATCATATTTGTATATGTATGTGTATATACAACTTAAGCACTTCAGGCAAGGCTTTTAATGTTCTTAAAAATAATGTTTGTGTGCCAAGCACAGTGTATTATTTTTGCCCCTATTTAAAATTATATCATTCTATATAAAACCTCCAATATAAAGATAGACCAATCTGATCTTGCATCTTTCTTCAGTTGTAAATTTCAACTTCAAGACAGCAGGATCCACTTCTCTTGAATAGTTTAAATCTATGTAGCAATTAATGGACAATGGGTATGAATATTGGTGATTACATGTGTTCATTTGAAAGTGTGAAAAACAAGCGGAGAGTGGCAAATGAATAAGAATACTTGTGTACTGCCTGGTCATCTTGCAATAATTTCTGAGTTATATTGGAGAAAATGTCTCGGTGGACAATGCCAGACAAGTAATCTGCTCATTGTCTTGCCAATGTATTATTCTCCAAATAGGAACTATTTCATGCCCTGACAATATACAAGATTTATGTGTCAGCAATTTATAAAATGCCACTGAACAATCTGCCATCATGAGCATGCTTTGTAGATTACCTGTTTTGGTCAATGCAGAGTATTTGTCCAGATATTTAACGAGTGTAAATCCCAAAATTCCAGGCAGCATGATTAAAAGCATCTAAGTAGGTGAAGTTTGAGTAGAGAAATGGTGAAAATTCCAGAATGCAGTGGCGTTGCACATTTTTATATGATTGCAAAGAATAACTGATGCTGATGCATATTCATCAGGAAACTTGCATTAAACCTGGTATGTGAGAAAGTAAAAGAGTTCTGTTAAGAGTAATGTTTTCTATTACCAGTTTGGGATGGAATATGCTTAGAAATTTAAACTCATATTTCCCCTCTATCTGGCACTACTTAAATGCATTCCTTTTATAGCACAGATAGAATCCATTTGTGCTAACAGGCTTAATATCATAGTACTTTGAAGGCAAGAAGGATAAGACAGTAGTGCTGCCTTTCATTTTTTTGTTAGCCAAATCTCAGCAGCTGTAATCCAATGTATTGAACTTTATATCTGCAGATAAGCTGGCTACATTGCCACTGTAAAAACCTAATAGCAATTAGAAAAATATGATGCTGGAAATCTTTATTCCTTAGGTGAAAAATCACAAATAGTAATAATAGCTGTGGCACTGATTGAGAATTGATTGTTGTAGTCAGGAAGGGATGTGGTTGGGAGTCACACTTATGAAGTCAAGATATGGTCTAGCTCGACTTCATGAAGTCTCTCAGATAGTGGGATATGGGACAGAGAAATGAATCCTTTCTCTCATACATTTTAGTAAAGCATAAAAATGATCATCTTGGCTGATAAGGAAGGTCCATGGATGAAACATTAAGTATGAAACTTTATGTTGCGTTGGTGGTTGCTTCAAGCAGTGTGACAAGGTTATTAGTTTGTCTGAGTACCTGAATTTACCTATATGTGTCAACAAAATAGAAAATAAAGGGGGAAAGTGTTTTACATCATTCAATAAAAATCAAAATATTTGCTTGGAGATAAATCAAATTTAATTCACAATACATAGCTTCCATAACGTAACTAGTCTGGTATACATTTATGTAGGTTTTTAAACTTTCATTTTATCCATTTTATAGAAATAAAATACATTTCATATTTAAAATGTGCATAGGTGTTTTTCCAAATAATACAAAAAGAAAATGTAAATTATTTGCTTATGTAATACTTTGCAGAAAAGAGAACATTCACTAGTGATTTTGGGAGGCAACAAAATCTTAAAGGGGAAGTGTTTAAAGTGATGTAATTGGAAACACTCGATTGACTGTAGTGTAGAAAAAATTTTTTTTCTGGTTTATTAGTTACATTTGGAATATCCAAGGTTATTGGAAATTTCAGCTGTATAAAGGTGAAATTAAGCAGAGGTTATCTGTACCTTAAAGCTTTGACACTTGAAGCAGCTACATTTAGTCAAATATCTCCTTTTTTTCTGAAATAACTCCAACTTCTCTCACAGACTAAACCGAGCCATTCATAATAAATTCTAGGATGTTTAACTCATATAAGCAGCTAGAAAGACCTCAGCTCTCTAGGAATGAGGCACAATCTTATAAATGCCTACTCTAAAGTAAGTTCTAATTAAATTCAGTGCAACTTAGCTTAAGACAAAAAAGTTAACAGAATAATAGAAGGGTTCTCACTTGAAGAAAAATTGGAAAGGGAAAATAGGGAGGTTAGCAAATATAAAAGTATAATTGTTTTGTACCCTGAGCAAATGACTTTCAGACAAATCTGTAGCACAGGATGATTGTGAAATAAATGAAATTAGATATGAAATTGTTTTTAAATGAGTAATTATAGTAACAGCCATAGGAGCACATCCAGTAGTAATAAATAGATCTTTTATTAGTTAATCATATGCTTATCATTATTGGCACGGACAACAGCACTGACCATTTCATGCTAGCAGAAAATAAGTGTATATTAATCTTTTTTACAAGATATTTTTAGAAATCCAATTCTATTTTTATTGAATGCAACTGCTCCATCCATCCTTTCTAAAATGCTAGCTGGCTTTGATATTCAGAGATATGCCTCTGTGATCTTTCAATCAATTCTAATCTATTTATCTATACTTTTCAAGTGGATGGGGAAAAAATAAGTTAACAAAAGTGGCTTATAAAAACACACACTGGAAAGAGTAGGAGGTATATAAATTAATGAACAAGTATGTCTTATCCCATTCCAATTGCGTCCATATATATGTATACTTTGTTTTGAAGTTGCTTATTATTTTATTTAAAGCATAAAGAGTAGATTAAATCGAACTGTTTCATCCTCAGAATAGAGATTGAATTTGCTGTCCTATTTGACTAGTTTTTCAAGACTCAGCTACCTTTTCAAAAAAAAAATTAAGATAAAAAATATGGATTAAGATTTTTTTAAAAGATGCTCCTTTTCTTTTGCTAGCTTTATTAGGAAAAAAGAAAAAACAATACCAGATGTTAACAATATCTTAGGGGTTATAAAGGGATAAAGCATTGGCCTGTGACTTTTGTAAGGTGTGGTATCTACCACATATTCCTTTTTCCATTTTGCCTGGGAATTCTCTTGCTCTCGTTTTAGGAGCTAAATATGAAAATTAGGGTTTTTGCCAGTTATAGTTTAATATTAAGCATTAAAAGAAAATAACTTTTTGTATCATTTTTCAGATGAAAAAGGGAGAGTGCCTGAGCCTTGACTATGCTAGAGCAACTCATTCTTTCAGTTACATTAAAACTGAAATACTATAATTATTTAAATTGCATCTGGGTGTCAATCACAGAGCTCATTCTAATATGCCATTTCAGAATCAATATAAACTTACTAGTTACCTATTTTTGCTGGCAATACTCTCAAAAATCTGTCAACCAGGAATTGTTAATCCCAGTAGCCTTAATTTTATATTGGTATTTGTTCTATTTAAAATTAATTTCAGTTTTACTTTTAAATCTCTAGTCCGTAAGTTATAAAGTCAGTTTCTGATATTCTAAACACTGAACTTCTGTAATTTATAACTGATCAATGTAAAACAGTCAAATTAAAACACTTGTGAATGACATATTTCCCTGAGCAAATGTAATCTACATTTCTATATATCTCACTATTTATTTTTTTA